TTTCTCTAACAGGGCTTCAAAAGAGGGGTTTGAGCAGTAAGAGCCATGGCTACAATGGGTGATCTGTTTGGTATTTTGAAAAAAAAACTTCACAGACATGTTTTGTATAGGGATGGCCCTAAAATATATTTTCAAATATAGCATGATAGGTCCACTTTAAGTGAACATCACAACCATTGTGCTTGTTTCCCGGAGATCATCTAACAAATATGTTTTTTTCTTCCGCAGTGAACTATGACATCTCCACTGCCAAAGAGCTGCTTCTGCTGACCGGCTCTCAGGAGGAGCAGCAGCGCTGGGTCGCCCACCTCCTCAAACGCATCCCGAGGAAACACCCGACCATGAGTCCTCCCACCGCAACACAAAACAACCACCCTGACCCACCGCCGCGCCTGTCTCCTCGAAACTCCCCGAGACCCTCACCCAAGGTTTCGCCTCGTCTGTCGGCCCATCGCGGAGCCATCAAGATCCAGCCCGGCAGACAGCAGCCGTCCTCAGGGAAGCCCAGGTGAGGACAAGGAACATTTTACTGCGTACAGATACACTTATATTAAAACTCAGTTTGTTTTCAGTGTTAACATGACTTGAATGACTGTTTTCCCACGATATGGTCATGTAAACTCAATATGGAGGAAATGTAGCACTTGTTATTTTCAGGTTTAATAATTCCACAATTTTTTGAAATTCATTTTGCATTATTATAGCAGGTATGTTGGCAACAAGGGGAAAGCTATATAAAGAAAAAAGCCACCTACACAGTGAGATGTTCCCCAAAAACAGTTTTTATTAAGAGTCGCTTTGTCGTTTAATTCCTGTGAAGACAAACTGGTGAAATACCGTAGCTGTACAATATTTTTAATAGTAAAACTCCAGGAATTATTTTATTATTATTTTCTATGTTTTGATTGTTAAATGTCAGATACCAAAACATTAAATGTCATTATAAAGTTACCATTTACACTGCATTTACTTTTGGACAACTAATCTGCTAATCTCCTAATTTCCTTTTTATGTCACAAGATGCCTTTTATGTATGGTGTCCTTTTGCATTGAGAAACATTTCTTGTGTGTACAAATATCAGGGTGAAAATCTTTATATTTTTGCTTATTTTACAAAATATAATTGTATTTTTCTGTAAAAACGGAATCAACAATTTTAACAAAAACCCTAATCTTGTTTTCTCTTCTGATGATTCTAAACCCTGTGCACTTTAAAGGGGCCTAAATCTGTGGCTCACCAATTTGTTGCTTTAAGATCCCTGAACCATTTACATAACGATGTAGCAGCTCAAACATGGCCTCTCACAGCGTCAGTAACAACCTAATAGTAGAAGGAAACCATTTTAAGTGTTGCTAACTGCCACCATCTTGTAAAAGTTTGCTTTCTCCTCCACAACCTAACTGGCTCTCATCCCTCAGCGCTGGCCCCATGCTCCGTATCATCCTCCACTGACCTCTGACCCAACCTTTCTAACGTCTCTCATGCTGGGAGACAGTAAGTAACAGAGCTTGTCACGCCTGTCCGTCTCCATAACGATGTGCTGCCGTGTCCATTAACACTCACCCCAGTATAACAAGTATTACCCAATCAGTCGGTTAACTCCTTGCAGCTCTACACTGCCCCCTGCTGAACCGGGCATGTATTACCCTGGCAGTTTATGAAGCTCGATAGGCTTTTGACCCTTCGGTAAACCTCATACTTACTTTTCAGATTGCTTGAGTTCGGCCTCAGAGACTGGAGTTGGCCATTGGATGATGATGATGATGATGATGATATGTTCTTCTGAATGAAGTGAAAGAGGGGGGTCAGAGGGTAACTGGACCTCTGCATGTGTTTGCCGTGTGCAGGCAGCCTTACTGGAGACAGAGACATGCTTTTTTGTGATTTCTAAATTGACAGCTGAGTGGAAACATGAACTCTATGAATGTCATCGTGGCTACAACGAAAGTAACAATTATTTCTGCACTAAGCTGACATTTTTGAGAATAATGATTTGAGAATTGGTCTGCATGTTTGAAGGAAGTCAAATGTTAAAGAAATAGTTGGTCATTTGGGGGAATACACTTCACTTTCCTGCAAAAAGGTAAGTGATGGTACCAGTCAAATATCTGTACATTCAATATGAAGCTGCAGACAGTTAGCTTAACTTAGCATGAAGACTGTAAACAGCTAGTCTGGCCCGTCCACAGATTACACATGTTGCCTTCCAACACTCTATCTCACTCAAGCAAAAAGTTATTTAGGAATAAAATAAGCCAGGCTAGTTGTTTCCAGTCTTTTTACTAAGCTATATGTCTGCTGGTTGTATCTTTACTTTACTACTGTGAGTGGTATCAATCTTCTCACTAAACTGTGAGCAGAAAGCGGTACGCATATATCGCAAAATGCTTTTAATATTTCACTTCTTTCAAACATGCAGACTTAAGATGAATCCATCTGCTCTTTTTGCATTTTACTCACGCATTGTGTGGCTACTGGAAAGCTTCCTGGTTTAATATGTGTGGATTTTGTGTGGGCGTGCCTTTTGAAGTCCAGCCATTCTGTTGGTAGCATCACCAGGTGTTCACATCCTTTTCTTTCTCTCCCTTTTCTCTCTCTTCACAGTTAACCCTGGCTCATCAAAGATGTGTATTTTCATCTTTATGGATAAACACCCGCAGCCTGGACTCAGTGCCTTCATGTGTTATTTCATCAGGGCAGTAGACTGAAAAGAACCCTGCTAATCATGGACAGAAACATTCACAGAGACTGGCTGTCGTCATGAGAACTGAGGCTGCCTTTGACATTTTAACAAGATGAAAATGAGCAGTCATATTAGAGTGAGACTACATCCAAAGAAAAAGTTTTATAAAACGGATTAAAAGTGCTTTATTTATAACCATCATGAAAAAACATGGGCGTTTTATTCTGTCAGATGCAGTGGATGACATGGATTTATGTTTGTTAGGCATGTGTGTGAACATTTGTATATAGGATTAAGAGGTCTGCGTATTGTAACACAGAAAGCTTAGCTCATAGAATATGATTATTTGTATGGATGTCAGTCAGCAGCACATTATACAGTATGCTTGCCTTATAAATGAATAAGGTTTTCATTACACAAAGTAGACTTGTATAACATACGACAGAATAATGTGAATTGAATAGAAACCATGTGTTCTTTTCTCGCCATTCATGAAAATGACATTTAAATAAAGTTCTGTAACCCTAATAATGAGTAATTCATTTTTTATGTATTTTTTGAAATCCAATGTAGAGGTTTGAGAGATTTGTCTTGATATAACAAAGCATGACTATGACCCTAAAGATGTAATCAGTGTATTCATGTCTTGTTTGAAACCTTTCAAGGATTAAATACAAAAACTCCTCCCTGCACTATAATCACATCAAAAGCAGCGGGAGTAAATGAAATGGATACTGAATGAGTTTGTCTTGGGTTTTTTGACTGGAAGATTAAGGAAAAACCTTTTCCCCTGCTTCTCTGTATAGTAAGGTAGTGTCAGTGAATTCAGTTTCAGTTTTTTTCATTGTTCAAATAATAGTTTGACATATTGGGGAATACATGTATTCGCTTCATACCACCCAGCCGGTTAGCTTAGCAAAAAGACTTGATATGTGAAACTTGTGAACAACAAGCCCCTTTAAAGCTCCCTAAACATATCATGATTGTTTAAAGGGGCCCTAATATGCTAATTTCCAGGTTCATATTTGTATTTTGTGCCTTTATTGTGACATGCTTTAATGTTCAAAATGTGCTTTACTTTTCTCATACGGTGCTGCAGCACCTCTTTCCCCCCGCTGTCTGAAACCACAGTCCATTCAACTTTGATTTGTTAGCTCTTTTATGATTGGTCAACCGAGGTTTCACCCCTTAGCCAAGTATAATGTGTTGGATCGCTAGCCAAAATAAGAGTGAGTGTTATTTAGTTATGTCACAGAAGTAAACAAAGGAGTCAAGTGGAGGCGTTTCAGGCAGGGGGGGAGAGAAACTGAATTTTGGGATAGTAGACTTTGCAGACCAGCGTGCACAAAAACCTATAAAAACACACTACAGGAAATGGAAAGCCCAAAAAAGCATAATTCCTTTAACTCAATGCATTCTACCTAAATTATTTGTGAGGTATCAGTGAGCTCTTGGTCATCTAAAGATATACTCATTAAAAACTAATCTGTATTTTAGACTGTACAATACTGAATGTTCAGGTCATAAAATGAAGAATACCAAAAAAGACAATGACATTATAAACACAGAATGTTATAGAAACACTGCGGTGATCCTTGGCAGGTGTTAGATCGGGCTACTGTGTATTTTAGGAGAGTATTTGAACTCTACCAGAATAGGTCTGTCTATCTCGCAAGTGCACGTGGAGTGAGTGGGCTCGGCTGAAATAAATCTTTCAGAACAGCCTAAAGCCAACTGGCACTCATCATACATAATGTAATGGTTCGTCATGTTGCCCATCTGCTGAAATCATATTTCATACTGCAAGTCTGATCCATTCTGTCTATCAGCCGTGTGACTCTATGCTCTGCTTCAATACCCTGAAACCAGCTGCACTGACAGCGGCGACCTCATGTGGCACGCAGCCTTCACTCATCACTTTCTATATAGATTTTGATTTGCATTTCGGAAAATAAAATGTATTTCTTTCAGGAGTGTCAAAACAGTTTTGAAGTATTCATTTGAGGTCAATTTCATGCTGCTACTTTTTATCTGTAGGGAAATATTGTATTTTTTACTCTACTGCACTATTTTTACTTATTTACTCTTAACCTATGATTTTATATACAACACATGAAGATAATACAAAATGATTAATTATAAATTAAGGAAACAATGAGCTAATTAAAACAAGATTTACTTCAATGGTATAATTATATTCTATAAAGGGGCTATTTTTCTGCCTTGTGTTTTCTGCATTATTAAAATGATAATTACTGTATCTCAATGCTACTAACATTTTGAGCAAATTAAATCGATCTCATTTTTACATGGATGATTTTTACCTATGCCCTATTTCCTCCTTCCCATATCTAAAAAATCCAAAGTGCAAAATAATGTAAACATGTATTTCACTCCGTGGCAAACTATTAGAATCATAAACTTCATATGCTCACATTAAAGCACACACTTAAACATCATACTTGACAATTATCATAAATGTAAAATGTTATTCAATAAACTATAAACTAAGTGTCCAGGTTTTGTACTTTCCCTGCAGGTTAGAGTCTCACAATCTGTTGCAACTGCCTGTCCTTGACAAATGACTGTTTTGAGCACATCCTTGTTTACTTAATAAGTAATGATTACATCGGGTGATTCTGCTCCCCAAATGACTCAATCATTCGCAAGTGACTGCTGCTGAATCTGATATAAGGAGCGGTTGGAAAACCACAGTAAGTTTTATTTTGTTACTTAGGGAATCGAAATCTTGTATATGGACAAAACTTCTATTATTATTAACAAAAGTCTTATTTTGTTACTCGTGTACATACATTTTACTCTAATGTAGGCTACATACGTTTTATGTTGTTGTTTATGTGCATTAACATCATACACTGGAAATAATTTGTATGTTTTGCAGTGCTGAAATACCTTGAGATATTTGATCCATTTATGTTATTTTTCTGGATCATTAACTCTGTGTCCTCTTCTCCTAGAAATGAAGTCCTGGTGTGCCCTCGCTTTCCTCTGCTTTGCATATTTCTTCCATGGCGCTCTCTCCTGTCCGCCACTTTGCAAATGCTACCACAGAAGAGCTGAGGTGGTCTGTAATGCAGTTCCCATGACAGAGTACCCCTCAGAGGGATTACCGAAGAACACCACCATTCTGACCATCCAGTTTACAAACATCACCTCGATCTCCGAGCTGCACCTAAACGCCACGCCTCGGCTGCGAGGGCTGCACCTGTACAGTAACCACCTGCAGAGCCTCACCCCTCATCTCCTCAGAGGCGTTCCTCTCATCAACACGTTGGATCTTACAGGAAACAGACTGAGCGACCTGCCTGCAGGCGTCTTTAACCCCGCCCCGCTCAAGAACTTGGTGCTGAAGAATAATCGTATTGAGATGGCGGAGGCTGAGTGGCTCCCTGATAACAGCAGCATCACCTGGTTGGACTTATCTGGGAACAGTCTAACGAAGGTCCCGACTGCTCTGCTTCAGAAGCTGCCCCACCTGGAGACACTGGACATCGCCAACAACCGTCTGGAGAAGTTCTTTGCAGATTCTCTGGTCCCACTGACCAAACTAGAGAGGCTGAACCTGCAAAACAACAAGCTCGAAACCCTGGATCCATCCGTACTCCATAGCACCCGTAACCTCACCTATCTGTTCCTCTCTCGAAACAAACTCAACAAACTCCCCCAAAACGTATTTCAAGAGCTCACTCAGCTCAGACACCTGAGCCTGGATGACAACCAGCTGAGCCACATCCCTGCAGGTTTGCTGGAGCCCCTGAGCTCTCTGGACGAGGAGGGGCTGGACCTGACCAACAACCCCTGGCACTGTGACGGGAAGGTGGAGTACCTCTGGAGGTGGCTTCAGAAGAACAAGAAGAAGGTCTTCCTGCCAGAGACCATCACATGTTCCCGCCCACAGCCTCTGGCGGGGCGCTCAGTAATGTCGCTGACATTAAGTGAACTAAATCTGTGGTCTTAACTTTTTCCATCCTCATACTGGTTAAAATCCATTAAATGATATACCCAGTTCAGCTGTCTTATTTTACAATCACTGAAACATGTTCTTTTGTCAATATCCCTAAATGTATTATTGAATATGGTGCGAGTAAAGAAAGCTTCTAAGAATTTCTGTCGATCTGTTAATTGCGCACAAAATGCGTTAAGCCAAATATGACGCAACAGCCACAAGACATTTCGCTTAGCTTAGCATTAATGCTGGAAACAGAGGGAAACTTGGCTATAACGAATTCCCTTACAAACACCATGAGACTTCATCAAATCATCATCATTTTGTATGAGGTTAGCAAACCAGATATAATGTGTGAAGGGAATACTCAATATCACCATGGTGCATTTGAGACTTCCCCATTTCCCCCCAAAAAATCTGAGATTTAAAAATTCAAAGATTTAATACATTGTTATTACATAGTGATTATAACATTTTCAGAAAGCTAATCCCTTTCTCAACAATATGTTTCAGTGAATGGAAAAAGTATTTGGATAATAATGAAATTATGGCAAACTATTTGTACCATGTCCACACTGCCATGGAAGGCTTGCTGACAGCAGGGTGGGCAAAGGTACAAATTGTTTGCCTTAATTTAATTTGTATTCAAATACTTTTTCCATTAACTGAAATATATTATTTATGGAAGGCTTGCTGACAGGGTGGACAATGACAGGGTGGACATTTTTGGCTAATATTAGCATTTAATGAGCACATGGTGGACTTTCAGTTAGCAACATGATTCAGTTAGCAAGGTGACTGTATTGTTTAACAAATATATTTCGAAGTTCTGAAATGTTTTTATATTAATTGACATTTCCCTATGACAGAGTGGACATGTTAAGCTTGACAACATCCAACTACTTTACTCACATAATATGATTACAATTTTGAAATACAAGTTCAAAAACGTACTTTGCAACTAGCCAATGTCTCAAACCTCCATTGAGGAAAGACAACATGGTGGGTAGTGATATCACTGAAATCATCAGAGGGTTTTTTATGGGGCAGTTACCCCTTAATGACAGGGTGGACAGCAAATGTGAGGGACACATGCAAAATGTTCAATATTATTATGAAAATAGAATATACATGATCAAAATGACTTGTTTTATTAAATAACTCGTTGTGGACAATAAAACCATATAATTATGTTTTAAATGTAGTATGATTTAACCACCACACACTAGTTAGCAGAGCAGTGTGTGGGACATGCCAAAATCACGTACATCCAATGAAAAAATAAGGTATAAAATGAAGGAAACACATTTCAAGAGACTTATCATTGTACTGATATGTGTGTAAATGTTTGGCCTTTTATAATAAGACCTCAGAGTTGTCATTGTTCTGCTGCATTTTCATGATAACTGAGTGATTCTGATGGGGACACCAAAGTTACTTTATAGACAGTGATATTGTCACTGTTGGCTCGCACTGACAAGAAACGAGAAGTGTGAGGCTGTTAAAGCAATAGTGTTTTAAATAGGAAGGAGGCAGGTTTGTTAGTATGTGACCATAAAACTATAAATAAATGCTCGTGCGAGGGTTTTGATACATTTTTGCTGTGTGCTGCCCCCAATTTACTTTATTTTGTCAAGGATTTCCTCCCACTTCTGGATATTTCTCCACTGTTGAAACGTGAGGAAAAAAACGAATTTTCTTCCAAAAGTTCAAGAAAACATAGGGCGAGTAATTGTTATCCAAACGATGATTTTGTGGTTCAAGTATACCTTAAATAAATAAGCTTACGAGGTGCTGGTATGCTTATTTCTGACAGAGCTGTTTCCCCTTGTTTCCAGTATTTAAGATAAGCTAATTAGCTAATGTCTGAAGCCTCACAATGAATTGAATTGATCTTCCCTATAACTCTCAGCAAGTAAAAAAATTGTCTAGTATTGTCGGTCTGTTAGTTGTGTATGCTCTTTAAAAGTGAAATATAAACACCAACATTGTGTGATTAATAAAAAAGGATTGAAGCGTCAAATCAAAAATACCTCATTCATTCCGTTATTTTTGCCCACATCAAAGACACTCAATAATATATACTGTAGTGCTGCATAAGAATCAGGCAGGAGTGGGAAAAGAAAATATTGATTTGTGTGTGTGGTAACATCTTTACTTTTGGAAATAACAGAAAAAAGTAACCACTCACTGGTTGATGAGCTGGTTTGTTTGCTTGGTTTTGTTTGCCTCTTGCAACATTTTGTTCTGACTCATTGCTGGGAACAAATTCACTCAGCTATAAAAACCCAGTCTGTGATCAACAATCGAAGGAATTCTCCCGTGCCCTTAAAGTAAGATTATGCATTTATGATTTGTTTTTAAAATGCAGTGATATTACTTGTGACCCTTTGTAGTAGGATAATGATGTTTGCGTGATTCTGTGTGAATCTGCTTCTCACACTGAATGTTTACTCTTTTTTTAAAGATGAACCTGTGGATGTTCCTTACCTTCTCTTCACTGGCTGGATGCGCCCACTCCTGCCCCGATTTCTGCTCCTGTTCCTTTCCACCTTCAGGTGCAGAGGTGCTATGCAGCCAGAGCTCCCTTAGGAATTTCCCTGTAGACGGTTTACCCTCCAACACCAGTCGAATATCGATCCAATCAACCAAACTCAGCAGTATCACAGCCAGCCATTTGAGCGCTGTGCCCCTTTTAAACAACCTCCAGCTGTATCACAACAACCTGACGAGCCTTCCTTCCGATCTACTGAAGAACGTTCCTCACTTGAACGAGTTGGATCTGACAGGAAATCAGCTGGTTCATCTTCCTCCAAATGTCTTCAGCCACGCTTCACTTCGGAGTCTTGTGCTGAAGAATAACCTGATTGAGGTTGCTGACGCTGAGTGGGTTCTTGGCAATAGTAGCCTGACCTGGCTGGACTTGTCTGGAAATCTTTTAACAAGTGTACCCGTCGCTCTGCTTCAGAAACTGGCCAATCTGAAGAATCTAGACCTGAGTGACAACAATCTGCAAGACCTACAACCAGGCGTCCTGAAGAACCTGCACCGCCTGGAGACACTGAACCTCGCTGGTAACAAATTAAGATCCTTGAAACCTACAACGTTCTCCCGCAACCCCAAACTATCACAACTGTTCTTACAGGAGAATCATCTCCAAGAGCTGCCGGAGACTCTTCTCCACGGTCTTCAGCATCTTCAGCTTCTAATGCTCAATCAGAATCAGCTGCAGTGTTTACCCCCGGGGCTGCTGGACAGAAACTCGTCTTTCCAGGTCATTCTAAGCGGAAACCCCTGGGTGTGCGATGAGAAGATGGAGTATCTGTGGAAGTGGCTCACTGTGTATCCTCAGAATGTCGTCTTTTTGGAAGAGGTGGCATGTGCAGGACCTGAAGCTCTTAAAGACCGGAAAGTGGTCTCTTTAACTCGCAATGAGCTAGGACTGACTCAAAAATAAGTGATGAAAAACAGTGCAAATTAATTCTGTTTACCCTTTTACATTTGGATATAAACTTATTTCAAATGATTTTTTTTTTTTTCTGTTTGTATGTCAGAAATAAAACTTTGCAAATCATTATTATTCAGCATTATTTTTTTATATTTATTATACTTGATCTCTCCATTGGTGGGATATTGTCAGCCGACAGGGTGGCGTGAGACTCTCAACAACAAAAAATAAATAAAAAAGCTGAATTTACTATTTAAAGGTGACCCATCATGCAAAATGCACTTTTAAACATCTTTTATACATGAATATGTGTCCCCGGTGTTCCAGGGAACTCACCAAGTGTCAGAAAACACAACCCTCTCTATTTTCCTCCATACCCAAATCTCTTAAAAAGGGGCTGCAACGGATCTGATACAGACTGATCCAGATTTGAACACTTCTATGACGTCACAGAAGTGGCGCTACGGCTATTGGGCCAACTCCACCAATCAGGAGGAGACAGCCACGGACATTGCCGTTCCAAAGCGCTGGAGACGCTGTAGTACATATGCCAGGCCTGTAGATGGTGCTGTTCTCACAGAATCAGCCCATGAAAAGACAGTGTTCAATTCAGCGAAATGAGGAATGGCTAAAATGCATGATCTGTTTGGTATTTTGAAAAATAAAAAGTATAAATATGTCTTATATAGGTATGGTCCTACACTATATTATTCAAATATAGCATGATAGGTCCACTTTAAGAAACAATTTACCTAAACGATCCCAGCCAAAAAATCTATCAAGTCAAATGATGATCGTTAATATATTCTGGTTATATTGATTTGTGATGCACATCATTGAGATGATGGGTACTATAATTCAAAGTATGGACAAACTAGGTTGTTAATCATACTCTCTTAATGGAAAGCATGGTCCAACAAAAGCTGTGACCAAGACATGAAATGGGCATTTAAGAATCGCAACAAATCAAAGCGTTCTTCCCTCCTTCCTTGTGGTTTCTTAGTTTCTTCCATTGAGTTCTTAATCCAACGAATGCGTCTCACTTGGAGTTGGTTGCATCACAGATTGCTGCATTGTTTCAGTCGTGCCCTTTTGTTTTTAATGATGTTGTTCAGCACGTGGGAGTGTGTGGGCAGTGCAATCACTGATTCTTCTAGCTTACCTCTGCTGGGTGTGTTTAAATGTAAGTTTCTCTTTCTTTAAGTCTTTCTCTCATTCTGTGTTTGAATATCCACACACATGTCCCCAAGCCTTGATCACAGTGAGTGCAACCTAAATGTAATTTATTACTGTAATAAAATAGAACACATTGCCCTGTCAAGAGGCAGGTACTTGTGAAAATGAAACCGTATTTATAAAAGCTCCCAAAAGAGTGAAGGGTAAACTCATAGAGGTGTAATGTATGTCTTTCATTTCACCTCTGAATTGTATCCTGGAGGTTAAAGGGTTAGGAAGTGTGAGTAAGATCATTCCTTCTGGTTGGAAACATCTGCTTTGGTGAAAGTGAACCAATAACTATTGCTGTTCTTTGGGGAGAGACATTTAATCTCCATCTTAGTTATCCCCCAGGCTGTGATGTTTTTCAAGTGTGTAATGGCACACAGGTTGTTCCTTGGATAAATGAGAATGGTTAGTTTGGAATAATGGAGCCGCTCTGGCTCAGTACTGTCAGCTAATGATGACTGACTGACACTGAAATCTAAAAGGTCAGGCTAACACTTGGAAATGACTGTGGCCTTTCTGACTTGGTGTTATAATAATTGAGACATTATCCTCTTTGAGTGCTGCTCATTAGCACATATCATATCAGTGCAATAATGATTTGACAAATACGTTTGAAATACACACAATTTTCTTATATTCATCTTCTTCCCTTATCTCTCTATGGACATCTACAACAAATTATTTCCATTTTGACTTATGCTCCATTACATTTCATATGGATATTATTGATTTTACATGGACACTTTTATTTAACAGCTTTAAATAGAAAGTCACTCTGCGGTGGGCTGCTGAGTCAGACTCTTGATATAAAAGTGAATATGAAATAGCAGCCTATGAGCCCTTTTGATACGAATTGTATTAGACATAAACGTGTTCCTAGTCTTTTTTTTGCATGCAACCTTTCCTGTCTCGAGGAAAAGGGTTGTTGACTCACTGCCAGCTCACAGGGAGCGAGCGAATCCTCAATATCCGCTCCTCAGGAGGATACCCACGGTCCACTCAGACAGCACGGTCTTCGGTGTAAATGTCCCGGGTTGTCAGGTGTTGATATTGTTCGTGGTAGGAGACTGACGTCGTTTGTCTATCAAAATGTCTTGTTTCCCGCGCCTTCCTCGGAGCAGGATGCAGCTCTCAAAGTTAACCCAGGTATTTCACACAGGTGCAGGGGCGCCCTAAGAGGGTGAAAAGTTAGGACAATTCTAAGGGCCCGTGACTGACAGGGGCCCAAACTATTTTAGAACATTAAGAAAAAAATGTTTAAGTAACCAATGTGATGTCTTGTCATGGGGCCCAAAACCCCTGGCGGCGCCCCTGCACAGATGTCACTAATGATGGCTAATGAGTCAGCCAACGCCCCCCAAAATCTCCAGAACAACACATTTGCAGATAAGTATTTTCCATGTTAAGACATTATAATATTTAATATATTTTGATAACAAATAGTTCTTGATCAAAATAATGTTAAATAAAAATAATAATTTCAATTTGAATAACTATTATACAAATATAATATTCATAATCATAAAGTAATAATTCGTATTTATAATCATATTTTTTGTTATCATTTATTTAAAATAGTAGCACTCACAAAAGGGCCATTGTGCAGTATACTACCTTTGGTCAAATCCACTTTTGCTAAGCTAAGCTAACCGAATGCTGATTTTAGCTTCATAAAGTAACATTTTTTCCATACATAAATTGTTAGATTGGTATCATATTGTCATCTAACTCTCCACTAGTAAAGCAAATTGGTGAATTTACCTGAATGTCAAACCCTCCCTTTACAAGATGTATAGTTTTGCTCCTTTGGCTTGAGGATATGAATGTTTCTTTAGCTATTAGAAATGAGTCAGCCATCCAACATAACTCATCCGTTTTATGAAAAAGTGTCCCTACAGGGCAGTCGAGGTAACTTCAGTGGGCTGAGGTAAAATTAATCACAGAGAAATACATTCCCAAGGCAAAGTTTCCCCTCTAACGAGACACGCGTTCATTAACTTGTTCACTGCGGCGGTGCATCTCTGTTCTTACACCTTGAAACTTTGAAGCTCACCTTCTGATGCTATGTGTGTTTATACTCGGGCTGATCTAAGAAAGAAGTTGCAGTCTCATTAAAAGCTTACCTGGAGGTGGGTGAGAGGAGAGGAGTCACACTGTTGCTGCCTTCAGAAGCATGAGGCCATTATGCAAGCACTTAACAGCAGTATAACACTCCCACTGCCCTTTATACACCTCCACACGTTTTTTTACTTAGCATTGACAGCATTTTGTTTATGCCTACAAACTAACATCCCTCATCTAGCTTGTTTAATCAATGTTGCCATTAAGCGGCTGAAGGTGGCGAGTGTGGCAAAATAGCAAGATCTTCATTTATCACAATCCTAGATGCATTGTATTCATCCTGATATGCTCATAAATAAACCCTGCACTTGACTACAAAAACACAGGGAAAGAAATGTGCTGTTACCTTGGTGCATTATCTCATTATTTGGGAAGAGAGGTGAGGAGATTGGTTGTTGTAAATGGCTGCACGCTCTCCAGGGAAATGGGCCATTAGAAAGCTCTTTCGATGGACGTTGCGTTTAACACCCTGCTACAAATCCAGCCGGCTTTATAGCTGGAACAAATGTGTTGATGGAGGCCCTCTCAATATCCCCACACAGCAACCACATGGAGAACACATTAACCCTAAAAGAGATGTAGCAGCTGCTTATCCATCAATATCGGAGCTGGGAGAAAGTGTGAAGTACAAACCAAAAATACCCACATGACAACAACACAACATTAATGGAGACACAAACAGCAGTGATGACGCATGTTAGGAGAGATGAAACAGCAATTATAACGTTCATATTTCCCACTTCGTGTTTATCTGCATCCAGCCGTGCTGTTTATTATTTTTATTTTACCTACTCAATCTTAAGCAATTAAAGTATAAGGAAATTGTTTTTGAATCAGACATAATTTAAAAGTTCCATTCAGAGAATTCATCAGCACTGTGTTTTTCCAAAATAAAAGCTGGGGGCGGTTTTCTAAAGAAAATAGTCATGTTTATTCAAAAGCTGCACTTAATTATAATGTTTTTTAATTTAACTAGTACATTTAACTTGAAAACTTTGCATTTTTTACTAGACTATTTTGTCATTGTAGTTGCAGATACAGGTGAATAATACAATATTTAATCTAAAATGTAAAAGATGCCATTATTAAAGATAACCTTGGAAGGAATTCACAGGCTACACAGCTGCATAATTTAAGTATACAGTATTTGTGTTCATTAAACCAAGTCTTTTGTTGGTAGCACTTTGACTGCAGTTTATATCTAAATTAAGTCAGTGAACTGATTTATAGCAATATCTATCTGTATGCTCGCCTACAGCATGACAAATTACAATGACATTGCATGCTGTCGGCAATACGATTTTTTTTTTCGCTTGTACGCGGAAGAGTGTGTCAGTTCTTGAAGATCCCCTTACAGATATGGAGGACCCCTTCTGTTTTTTGTCATTAGCCCACCCTCAGGAAACACAACAGCTTTGATCTAATTGACATGCTCATAGCCTCCTCAAAAGAAAATCACTGACATCTCTTACTCCTCCCCCAACTTCAACCATTCTCATCTGACTGAACACATCCTCCACTCTCTCTAATTACTACGTAAATATTCCTCCGCAGCGATGCTCTGTGTACGATCCCTGGAGCTTTGATCCGAGGTTGCTGTGAGAGGTAAAATCTTTCGAGCTACTTCCGTCGGCACTATTCCTTTTGTGTCCTACTCTGTAATTTGTCTTCCTGGGGACAGCAGATTGAGCC